AAAAAACCCCAGCCCAGGCCGAGAGCTGCGTCCGAAACCAAACCCGCCCTTCGCGCGTCGCAGAGGAGATTCTTCTTTTTTTTCCTTTTTTTCTTTTTTTCCCCCCTTTTTATTTTTAATCACCATTATTTTTATTATTATTATTATTATTATTATTATTATTTTTATTGTGAATAGCCCTGCCCCGAGCACGGTGGCGGCGGCGGCGCCGGGGGCAGGGAGGCTGTCCCGGTTATTTATTCTCTCCCCGCAGAGCTGTCCCTCCGGCTCACCATGATGTTCCGAGACCAGGTCGGCGTGTTGGCCGGGTGGTTCAAGGGCTGGAACGAGTGCGAGCAGACTGTTGCGCTGCTCTCCCTGCTCAAACGCGTCAGCCGGACCCAGGCTCGCTTCCTCCAGCTCTGCCTCGAGCATTCCCTGGCAGACTGCACCGAGCTCCACATCCTCGAAGGGGAGGCCAACAACCCCGGTGAGTGGCGTTTCGCCGAGACCCTCCCCGAGCCGCGCTCTAAACGCCGTCAAAATTTATAGAAAAATGTTAAAAATACACCCAAGGAACGAGTGCGGTGTGGGAGAGGGGGCTCCCCGGCTCGATTGCGGGAACAGCTTCTCTCCTTCTCTCCTCACGTTTTATTTTCCAAACGGGGTTCGGCTTGTTTCAGTTTGGTTTTTTCACAGCAAACTACTCCGCTCCATGGCGTGGTGTAACTACGGTAGCATGAATGATTGGTGGGTTTTTGTTGGTTTTTTTTTTTTTTCCTCTCCCCCCCGCGTCCCCCCCCTTCCTCCTTCCATGCAGTTTCCTGTGAAATAAGTAAGTCAGGTCACGTAGAGTCTGGATTTTCTGGGCTTCTTTTGGACAACGTGGCTTGATTTGCTCTCTGCAACATGCAAAAGCAGCCCATCGCTACCTCAGACGAACTGTTGTTGTATAAAGGTCTGGGTAACTGGGTTATCCTATTTTTTTTTAATTTTTTTTTTTCCCAAATGTGGCAATTCCTATTTCATCATTCAGATCCTGTTTGGACGCATTTTTTTTTCCCCTGCAGCTCTGAATACCCCTCTTGTGTTTCAGCAGAGCTCTAAGAAAATACGAGTGGACTGTTTTAGGTTTCTGAGGGTGCAGGACAGAAAATGTGCGAGGCTACGGAAAGTGTATTTTGCTTTTATTTATTCACCATTACAAGTTGCTCAACTCCTGGGAAGTAAATGGAGTTAGAGTAGGATGGAAATGGCACAAGCGCCGGGGGAATCGTGCCGTGTGCTCCTCTATTTATTTATGGGGGGGGTGGTTGTTACAGATGTATGTTCCTGAGGGGGGGATGTAAACAGGGATGCAAGTCGCTTAAAGTAGAGTTTTTGCAACACAGAAACAGAGCAGGGAAGGCAAAACGTATTTTAGTGTCTTTTAGTTGCGTGGTTCTGTTCCTCCGAGCCCTTAAAAAAAAAAAAAACCCAAATCGTAAAAAAAACCCCCCCAACCCAAAAAAAAAAAAAAAAAAGCGAAGCAACCCCCGCGCGTTGCAAAGCATGCCTTTGATTTAAAATCCCCGGGGGGGAGAATTGGGATTTGGGGTTTGGGCTGTGCACGGGGAAGCGGTGCCGGGGAGCGGCCGCGTTCCGTGATGGGTGGAAATCTTGCGGCCGGATCCCGAACAGAGCCCCCGGTGTGGACGGGGCGGGAGGAATGCAGGGTCCTTCTCCAGCTGTTCCCTATTAGAGCACCGAGCCGGCAGGGTTTGGCAGCTGCCTGCGCTGCCATTTGATGACAAGGTCCAGCGCAGCGCCGTGTTCCACCGAGGAGGACGGATTTCAGTCCTTCTGCAGGAAACCGAGCCCGGGGCTGCTCCGGCGCAGAGGGATCGGGGCTGGCTACGGGGGAGCCAGGCTGGAATTGGCCGTTCCCTTATATAGCTCGTAGGAATGAGAGGGAGGAATGCTGCGTCTGGGCGCAATACTGCTGCTTTTATAAACAGCTGAAGGGATGAACCTCATCCATCCCTTTGGGTGGGGAGGCCCCGGGGGGGCCTGGCGGGAACACGCTCTCCCAGCTGGGCTGCTCCAGGATACATTTGCAGCCTCCCATGCCAGCCTCAGCACAGCCTTGCCGTGATTCCCTCTGCGAGTCGGTGCGAGCCGTGTATTTTTAATCTTACGTTTTTATCAGCATTGCAGCTTTTCATTCATACTGTGGTTTTGGTGGTAGCCCAGTCCCCTCGGTCGGTCCAGGGGTCGGAGGGGGGTGATTTGCACCCTGACGTCAGGAAAGGCGAATTATGAAGGAAAACAGGGTTTGAAGTGTTCCTGGACACGAAGTCACGTAGGGCTGCCTGTGTGGTGGCGTTTCCTCGGGGTAAGCCGGGGTGCAGACCAGGGGTTGGGCCGTTCCCATCTCTGCTCGTGCGAGCAATCCCTGCTTGTCCCTGTAATCCCGTTGACCTTGCTTGGCGCGAGGATTTCTCCTGCGCGTGGAGCTTGGCATCCCGCCTCCTGCCTGTCCCTCAGTGCGTTGGTGGAGCTGCCTGAGCATTCCCCGACGTTCCTTCCAAAAACGAGCTGCTCCTCCAGGGCGTTTGTAACTCCCGTGCCAAAACCTGAGTCTGTTGAGTGCCTGTGTCTCACCAAACACCCCCCTTCCCCCGTAGGCTTTCCCATGGGATGGACATATCCATGCATCCTGTGGAGCAGGATGTGCACTTTACCAGGCACTCCTGTTGCAGTGGAGGGAAGGTTAGCTGAGATTTGCAGGCAAGATCTGTTAAGAAATGGCTTTATAGTCTCCAGTGTTAGCACTGCCTTCTTCATGAAGCCACCTGTATTCCTGCAGTCGCTCCTGCTCCGTGCCTGTTTTGCAGTCTGGCGCTTGTCACTTGCCTGGCAGTGGAATCACACCAAGTCCTGAGTGGCAGCGTCATCATCGAACCTTGTGCTACTCGTTACTCTTTGAATCCTGGTGTTTGCATAACCAATTTGGGCTCGGTTCTCTCCCGGGCTGGGGCCTGAGGTGGCTCCTGGTATGTTTTCCTGGTGTTTGCTGGCTTGGAAATGGTGGCTCCCTGCTTGTAGGTGCCCCACCGGTCTCCCTGTTGATGTTGGGATCGTGGTGGCGCTGGTGCACAAGGGACTGTGGGGTGATGGGGTTGCACAGCCTGTAGGAGTTGGCTGTAAGGTGTGGGATGTTCCCATTCCATGGGGCACAGGTGAAATCCATTGTCTGGGAAGGGGTGTCACCGTGACTTCAGCAGCGCCAGGCTGAATGTAACGTGCTGGGCTGATGTGCCGGAGCAAGTGTTGGAATTACGCTGGGTCCTCGTGGGAAGTGAGTTGTTTTGTACATGCAGGACCTGTTGCTTGTCCCAGCCCTGTGGGGAGGTGGGAAAACTGGAATATTACTCCTAGTTTATGGTCATTCAGAAGAGGTGGCAGCCCTGCTGTTGTGATCTGTGGTGGATGAACACCGTCCTTGGCAATATCATCACCAACAGTGCTGGTCCCAAAGGGAGAGCAGAGCTTTGATATCCTCACTGGCTGGTGAGGCTGGGGCTCGTGAGCTTTCTGGTGTGTGGAGCAGGCAGAGAGGAAAACTCCTCTCAGTGAAAGTGTCCAGCTTGTTTCTTGCCTGGTGACAGGTCTGCCATATGGCAGATGAGATGGGAAAACCTCAAGGAAGAAAAAATTACTCTTTTTAACTAGTTAATTGCTGTGGAGAAGCAGGTACATCTAGTTTGAAGGAGTTCTATCTTGGTTTTTCTCCAGTTGCGAAGGTGTTTTCATAATCACAGCCAAGCTCTCCGTGTTAGGACTGCAAACCCGGCGTGGTTCTGCTGTGTACGACCCTCAGAAAGCCCTGAGGAGCCTCCTGCTTCTGTGGTTCTTTGGATTCCTGCTCAAGCATGGATAGAACCACGTTGCCCACCTCAGATGAGAGACGCCTGCAAGACATCCTGCAGAAAACTACACCGGTGTCTGGGAGCAGACCAGTGTGGTGACTGCATGTGGTGTGGGGGCTGCCCAGGTGGCTGTGGGACCACCTTCCACCTGTGGTCTTTTTAAAATTTAAAGGCATTGCTTGATTATAAAAGGAAAACAGAAGTGGGAAACCAACATAGAAGGAAATCTGTACGTTTCTTCATTGGTGAAATGCACATCTTGGGGTTGTCCTACACGGAGGCCTCAACAAGCTTTAATGGTTTAACTGGTGAAGAATGTGGGTTATTGCTGATTCAGTTTGAGCCTGAATGGCTTGGCCTGCTGGGCACGGGGGAGAATATGGAAACCATATTATCTGTGCACAGAAATAGAAGTTTCAGGTATTGCATAGCACTATTTAAAAGCCTGCTATAACTTCCTTCCTTCCTTCCAGCCTGGCCTTGCTGGGCAGCTTCAGCCCCAGCTGCTCGGAGCCATCAGGACGCGGCGACCTCCTTGGAGCCGCCGGTAAAGGTCAGGCAGGAGCATTCTATGCCTTGTGGGAAAGGGACCTGTGCTCTTCCTGAGGCACTGAGAGATGCTTGGTATGGGATACAGACCCAGTGAGCAGATAGGGAAGGCTGTATCCATGAAAAGTGGTCTGTAGGCTTTGGGCGTGGAATGCAGGATGTGCTTCTGCTTTCGTCTACTTGGGTATCCCGTCTCTGGGATGGCCAGAGGTGTGGCTGTTTTGTTTTTTTTCCAAAGTAGTCCCACGTCCCATCCCACCAGCCCTGCTTTCCTCACTCCTGTGCTCTCTGCTGGTCAACAGAGGTGCCCAAAGGCTCCTGAGGGTCATCCAGGCATCCAGACACCCACCTGCACCAAAGGAAGAGCGGCAGCTTTAAACTCCTGGCCTTGAAGGACAACAAGCTTTCCCTGCCCTGTGCACGGGACATTAACTGCTCCTCCACGTGTTAGGGCCAAAATCTTTATTTCACTTCAGCAGGCTGTCAGGTGTCACAATGGGAGCATTGGGATGACCCAGATTCCTCATCCTGGGAAGGGAGGACTGGCCTGAGGAAGAGATGAGGGTTGCAGGGAGCCGTAATGTCTTTTAATAGACCAAGTGATGCAGCTGGAAAAAATGGCCAGGCACGAAGGTGCAGCAGCTCAAAGGAAGGCTTGTGTGGTTGTGGAGGTTTTTTTTTCCCCAACTGTACGAGCTGGTCTATTAAAAGGTATTACACGTTCCTGCAGACCTTGCTTCTTATATCCTTAGGTCCCTGTGGCTCCAGCCATAGAGCTGTTGCTGCTACCCTGGTCACAGACAGTCTCCCAGCCCATCAGAAGCTGCTACCCTTCCACCTTCCAAATTTTGCAGTTTGCCCCCAGTGACCCCCCACTGATGGAAAATTATCCCAGTGCCCAGTTTGAGGGTGTTTTCCTTTTTTTTTTTTAATTTTTCTTGGCTTGTAGTTGCATTGCATTGCTGAGCTCTGGTTTAAGTGCCCTTGGGCTGTGTGAAGGCGTCGCTGGGCTGTCCCAGGGAGGGACTGG